ACACACTGCATAAATGTAGAGCGTGTCCCCGGTTTCCATTAAGGCCTCTGACAAAAGTGTCTAAGGCTTTTTCCCTGTACATGGCTGTTAGAGATTGTATAGTTCCTTGTGAGGCATCTAAGCTGCCCATTTGGTTCAGAATTAGTGATAGTTGTTGATAAGCTTCCTGATAATATTCATCTATAGTATTGTTACCTTGGTTAAGAGCATAGAGTTGATATTCTAAATGCGCTGTTAGGCATTTTGAAATAGCTGTCCAATCTAAGGGGGTATTATATGATTCTAGTACTACGTCTGCTTGACCAGTAATTTTGTTACGGATTGCTAAAAGAATTCCATAATATTTTGGTGAACCAATTCTGTTTCCATAGATTTTTAACACCCTCTCGATACTTTTCCTCCATGACGAATATTCACTTTTGTTCCCCGAAAAGTCTCTAAGTGTTCGAACAATGTCTGGTAATTTATCTAACTCATTTAGATTGTGAGTTAATTCTCTTTTAATTGTTTGATCTGTATATTTGGAAACATCTTTGTTTGGATTAGGTATTTCCTTTACTGCTTTTATTTTTTCCTCCATGTTCCCCTCGGTCATGATTCGTGGGTTTATTTGTGTGGTGATGAGGGCCGACAAGATTCGCGAGTCTGTCTGCAAAATCTTGTTGGGTCATTTTGGGTATGCATATATGAGGAGCGAAAAGTTTTATTTATTTTTTTAATTTTAAATATTCAGAATTCGGAAGTTGTTTCTTAGGAATTAGGGTGTAGAATTTCTTTATGTGGTGGATTTTGTAATTATTGTGTGGGGGTTTTCATTTCCCTATATTTTATGCATTTTTAACTACTAAAATGTTTCTTTTACACTTTATGTTTGGGTTTTGGCTTTTAATAGATCGCTTAAAACTATTTTTAAAGTAGTAACATATCTTGGCGTGCTCTCATGATGACAGGTTCGGCGGATTCCGTTTTATCCCACGCTGCAACGATCTTTTCTGAGTGTGAGTACTAAGGGCCCTTCTCTGTACCTTAATTCACGTTCCCTTCGAACGGATACTAAAGAGATCAAAGCGATAAAATTTGGCGTAATTATTCCACCGGGTTTGCGGCGTTTTTAAACGGCACTTTTACACTTCCGGGTCTCGGGATTTTTGGTTTTTCACTTCTCACTGATAGGCGGAGGTACGAAACGAAACTTCAGAATTATTTTTTACTTTCTGAACTTCGCGAGACTCGAAACTTGTTATCCTTTCGCGGTTTTAATCAGGTCCCAGTTCGGGCGCCAGTTAAAAGATTGATTATGATTTTGATATAAAAATAAATCAAACTTCTCCTTATTGAGTTGGATTAAGACCTAATTTGCTTAGGTTAAGCAATTGTTTTTTATAGCTACGCGTCGCTCCCGACGCTGCCGCCGTTTCTGCCGCTGTTGATGTTTCTGCTGACGTTCTTTCATATTATTGGTTGCTGCTCTTGGTCGCCGTAGCCGTTGGTCAAACTTAATTGTAACTATTGTTCTTTTTGTATGCACTTAGTTGAGTTCGATCAACTTTGGAAATGTACTGTTCTGCATTCCCACGATCGCTGACCAAAAGGTGCAAGCTTAGCGCACGTGGCTAAATTCGTTTGAACTTTATTGAGGGCTGTGCTTTGCTGTTTGTTGTGCAATCCATGCTTACTCTTTTCTTCTGTCTGGGAAATTGTTTATTTTGGGTGTTAACTCATATAAAACTACTGGGGAACTATAATTTTATACCTAGAAATTCAATGTCATTCATTTCATTAAAAGATAGTAATTCAGATGTGAGGTTTGAGTCATCAGCAATCATGACTCCTTCTCATGGTCTGAAAGGACGATCAAGCCTATAAATTGTGGACTTACCCGGTAAAACTTTGTAGCTAAATATATCCGGTTTTAACCAGGTTTTTGTAAACACAATAACATGGGATAAAAATGAAAAACTATCAGGGTACAATTTAGTCAGCTTACTAAGTAAGACTCTGGTATTTTGATAGGAAAGGAAGAGACGGAATTTAGGTTTTTTGAAGAGGAAGCAAAAGAGGGAACTGAAAAAGAAGGCATACTATTTGGGCCTCGACTGGGAAAACAGATTCCCACGGGACTTATCTTTTTGTCTTAGCTTCGAACTCTTTTACCACCATATTCTGCCGCCAAAAGTCGGCTCATCATTTCAAAAGGCTCATTTGGGACAGTGATCTTGTAAAATAAAATGTCCCTAGCGTGATAAAAGTTTAATTTTTCCTTTTTTACATTAACATGATTGCTTTTGTTCTGTCTTGTATATAATACAAAAGCACATAAGAAGATGTCTGAGCAGGGGAAATCCGAAAAAAAAATATTTGTTTCTTGAGTGGAACCACTGAAAGAGGTTTCGGAACTGAGTTTCTGCAGAACCAAATTCAGCCGGTATTCCAGACACAAAGTCCCTCACTGATTTTAAAGCCACAGCGGACAAGCCATAAAGTTGGGAAGTCATTCAAGCACACCCTCTGACATCCTTCCTTCTTAAAAGTTTTGAGCTGTTGATTGGACTGCACATAAGAACAATCATCGCCAAAACATATATCGGCAGCACGGCATGCATTCTTAAAAAGGAAAGCCCACAGAATCAGCTCTAATCACAGTAGTCAACCAAATCGAAAAGGCCCTCAAAAAATAAACTAGGGCAATTTACAAATAGATTAAAGGTTCTACAATTAATCCTACCAATACTAAACGAATGCATTCTCTCCTTCAGAAACAACGCTAGATACTTGGGGCTAGTAATAGAAAAAGTCTGAAATGAAGACTGAACAGCCAAGAGAGAACGAGGAAGTATCGGGACGAAATGGGGCATTTCCCAAAAATTGACAACTTGATATACATTGAAATAGTTAAGCCTATTCTACTCTACGGAGTATAAATCTGGTGGCCTGCGCTAAAAACGGTGACAACCACAGAACTAGAACTCTTCAGCAAGACAAATGAATCCAAACCAAAACAGATCTGTGCAAACAAATAAAATTTGATAACACACCCTTTGAAATCCTGTTTCCAAGTTGAGAAGACTGGGAGCTAGGTCATTCAGGGCCTACAGAATCAGTTAGCATCTACACTGACGTCTCAAAAAGATAACTATGTCGGCGGAGGTATATATTCTGATCAACAAAACATTAGGAAATCTTTAAGACTTTTGATCACTGCAGCGTCTTCCAAGCGGAAAAATATGCCATAAGAGAAGCACTTGTGCATGTACACAAATATAACTGTCAAAGAAGATGGATTAACATCTACAGCGCTAGCCAGGCGGCTATTAGGTCTATCTATGCGGCCAACACAAACTCTTATCAAATATAAATCTGCCGCAGTATAGCATTTACCTGATATGGGACTCCGGACACCGCAGGCAACTGCATAGGCCCTCCCTCCCCTTCCAAATAAAGTGACAATTGGAATAATGACCACGTGTAAGCTAAATAAAAAACTAATTAAAGAGACTAGCGAATCCAACATGACGGAATGTAAGACATTGCCGCACTGACGCGAAAAGAACGTCGAAATTACTAAGACTCAATCGTCCCGCGTACGGAATGATAATACGAGTATGCCAGCAGACTGGGCGCAACCCAAAATGATTTCCGCAAAGACTGCAGAAATATAGAATAACTTTCATGAAAGCAACCGGGCACTCAGGTCAAGAAAAAAATAAGTTTTATGCGGTATCACAATGGACCTATCTAGAACTAAGTGTGTCAGTCTTCATCTGGCAGCCCCCCTAAACTAACCTAACCTAACAACCAAGAGCAAAAAATTATCATTATAAACGGTACTTATACCCAAGAGAGGTCCACAGGTCCACTTTTTCTCTTCTTGTTCTGTTACTCATATATCTATATGACCTGATATCTGTTATTGAATCCGAAAAATCTGAGAAATTCGCCTTGTAGTTTTTAAGTTCCCTATTTTTCCATATCAAACTGAAGTTGTTGCCGTAAAGAGAATGGTTTTAGCCTCTGTCGGTAAATGGCCAGAGTATATTTGGCTTATCACTTTGATGGTTTCAATCCCTGTACCTGCAAAGCAAAGATCGATGGTTGACCACGTTTCTCCTCTCATAAATGTATGATCGCCCAAAAGAACGATTGGCGACCATCCATTGACTACCGTGAAGACAAAATGCTCAATCAAGTCCTTAAGATGCCTACCATTTGCGACGGTTACTTTGTCTTTGGCGTTATGGCGTTACTCATTCCCAATGGTTACTGTTGATATACAGTAGGTGCAATTTTTCATTTTTAAAAGTCCTTAGTTTGATTATAACACATTCATCTATATCTTGGAAACTGATATTTCCCTGTTCATGAGTGTCCGATCTAAGAACAAAGTCTTAATGCATTTATAAAAAAAACAAGACAAAACTTCAATTATATACATTGCATATTTTACCATATATACATTTCTACATCTACGGCTATTATATTTTTAAATGTTATTAAATTTAATTTTCCTGTGCCGTCTTATGTTTTCGGCACAAGTAATATATAAATCAAAATAAAGCATGAATGGAATCAAATTCGGCAATCCGAAGTTTATATACCCCTGCAGTTAGCAAAAATTATACATTATTGTATTTATAACATCTTAATTTTAAATTATATGCGTATATGCTTAAAAACATTGAAGCTATGATGATTATCAGTTTAATTATTCGATCGTTCCTATGATTGCTATATGTTATCGTTTTCCGATTTAGATAAAATTGAGAGCGTAATTCTGAATTATTAAACGAGTAATAGTTTAATTACTAAAAAAAATTTAAAAATTGAAATTTCGCGTTACTTATACCCACCCCATTAGCTTGCGTTACAAGAAGGTTAAATGAATATTTATTTTTGAAAAAGAAACAAATAAAAACACGGACTCATCCGCCACTTTACCTGTATTTACGTGTTTATTATATAAATTTATTTATTTTTAATTAGCGAACTAGATTTATACTTACGATTGATTGCTCCAACGCAAAAACATAATGATTAAAAAATTTGTGCAGCTTTTCGTTGGTATAGTTTATGCATAGTTGCTCAAATGAGTTGTGAGTGAAATTTTCAAATCCAAATATATCAAGTACACCAAGAAATTTGGCACCGCCTTGTCCTGGATTTGTACAGCTATTTATTTTCGTAACCAGCCATGTAAATGTTTTGGAGTATAATGCTTTTGCCATAGCATGTCGATTTTCTACAGCCTACAAAATAAATTTCATAAAAAAAGCAATTAATTTTGGTTGGGTACCATTCTAAATTTAAAATAGAAGAAGGGGGTTTCCTCCCCAAAAAGGCGGAGTCTATTGGTTTCTGGAATCTGGCTACATTTTGGTTATACTTAAGACATCTTTTTAAGGGGGTATTCTGGTCTAGAAGCCTGAATTTTAGTCCATTTTTCAAGTAAGCTGACAAATAAATGAAAAACATTTTTATTATAAAGTTTCATTAGTAATGATGCCGGTATCATGTTGACCACTATCAAAATAATAATTTGAAATAACAAATCGGAGTTGACTTGAAAACCTTTCGATCTTTTCGATTACTTTTAAAATACTAATAATCATAATTTTTTCAAGTCCGAAACAGACGCGATAGAGAGTAGTATAAATAAGATATATACCAAATTTCAAAGGAATCGGTTCAGTAGAACTTGAAAAATCATGTTTACCACCTCAAGAAAGAGCGCTTCGAGAAAAGAGTGTTTAAAGTTTAGGAAACAATTATAATGGCTCGGACGCCACATCACAAAGACCGCGGCATCTCCTAAAACAACTCAAATTTTGAACATTTTTTTTAGGATCGTATTTTTAAACATTCTAAACATTCAAAATATGCAAAAAAAAAAAAATCGATTTTTTCAAATTTCTATACAATCCATTCTACATTTATGTCCTTCGATATACCAATTTTCAGAACGGATACGTCTGTCTTTCTATTTGCAAAATGTTTTAAATCAGTAGTTGCATTTCATAATTATACGGTTTGAAAAAGAATTAGACTGTAGCTTTATTGAACAGTAACAGTGGCTTAATATATTAATTAAGTGCTCGCACATTTTGCATAATTGGTCATTCCATGTGAACCGTGCCGGCAATTTTCTAAAAATTAAAAACAAATGTATGTTTCGGAAGAGGAGCCAAATACAAGTGCCAGTATTGGTACTTCTTTGTTTATTTTTGCTACGTTATTCTTCACAAAGTTTAAGCCACTCTTAATAAACTCAACGAACTCAACCGATTTTTTCGTTTCAATGTTTTTTCGGTTGTTTGCTGACCGTTTAAGATTAAAAAAAAATCCTTGTTTTCTACTGATTATTTGAAGTGCATACCAAAATTGAAAATGTATCTGTAGGCGATTGTTTATACCTGATCATCAAAAGGAGGCCAGATAAATTAAACTGCTTAATATTTCTTTTGGCGTCGATAGTTATAATCTGACGTATGGTCGTTTAAGTCTTAGTGCGACAGTTTTTTGACGACATTCACCTGAAGTCGCAACATTTAAGTGCGCTCGCACAGGTTGCGTTGGCTACACCAGCGACTCAGGTGTTTGTTAAACGAGCCTGATCAGCACTTCATTTTGTTCTGATGGAGTGACGCTGTCCATAAAGTGAAAGATTTATAAATTGGTTGTTTAACTTAGCGCACAATAAATAGTGTTTGAGAAGACTTCTAGCAACAAGTATTGTATTATTGTAAATTAAAGACCTGAAAGCTTTTGAAGCTTTTATTATAATAGCACTAAAAGCCAATGAGCACAGCAAGAGTCGTCATTGGATTATAGCCACAAGAAAGATCACCATCAATTCGTTACTCACTGGACAGAAGCATCGGCAAAGCAAATCGAAAAAAAGTTGCACCGCTAAATCTTTAGCTTGTACCAAGAGGTGAAACGAAAACATATAAAGCTTAAAGCCTTTGTGCATTTTCAACAGTGGTTAAAACTTGGATTTAATGATTATTACAAAGCTATATGCCTAGTTTGCAGAGTCGAACTAAAATCCAATTGGATTGCGCAGCTTTAGAAATTCGCGAAACATATTTTAAGAAAGTTATGCAAATAAAACATTTAAAAATAGTTTTGACAAAACTGGTCGGGAAATAGAAGATACTTTTATTGCAGCAAAGGCTATTATTATAAGGCGTCTTTGTGCAAGCGAGAAAGAGAAACCAGATTAAAGTATTTTCAGTTTGTTAACTTGTCCAAGTGGAAATCATAATCGATTACCATCGCTCAAATTGCACAACAGTGATTACAAAAAATTCATTTCGTCGTTCAGGACAATGGACAATAAGCTCAATAATTTATTCAGTTGTCTCTCTGGAGCCGCCCTCTTTGTTGTTGCGCCATTACAGGTGACCAAAGAAAACTACAGAAAGCCGATTGGGCAAAAAGGTTTTTTTTTTGTTGAACATATAACAAGACGTTCAAAGCCACGCTTAATAAGGTGGCAACAAAACATTAGTAATTTGAATGTATTTTCATTGCATTGATTGCCATGGAACTTATTAACATGTCCAAACATCTCTAAATTTAGGGTCTAAAATTAATTTTATTACAAAAGAGTTCGCCAAAATTATTGAACTTCCGTTTCATCATATTTGTGGCATTGAAAATGTTAGTTCTCAACTGAAACATTCAGTTTCAACAACAATAAAATCAAGGGGACAACAACAATAAAATGTGAACTGCATTTCGCCGTCACAAAAACAATTTCTGGAAATCAGCCTGAGTCCCACAATGACTTTTCAAGTTGGTCTATTCCCGATGGTGTCGAGTTGGCTGATTTTTTATTCATTGAACTTCAACGAATCGATTTATTAATCCAGGTACATCTTAACTTGCCAAGATTTACCTCGTATATTGGCTTGCATGAACCCTTTTCTTGTTCTTTGTAATGATTATAATAATCTATATAATCAAATTTGCATTTCAACCTCTATCCCTGTCTTAAAAAGTACAATTTTAACATATTTTTACCGTACTTAGTTTTAGTTCTTTTATAAATGACACCAAGTTATATTTGTGTTTTGCTCGGAAAGTCGATAACTGTCCACTATGCTAGTAGGAACCTCGCGTAACAAGCTCGTGCTTGGTTTCGTTGGGCCACTTGTTTGTGCTGATTATAGGGCATCAACGTTCAACAATATATATATATATATATATATATATATATATATATATATATATATATATATATATATATATATATATATATATTAAACAGGTTTTTTTAATTTCTTTGCTGAAGGCAATAATAATAAACACTTCCGTTGGGTGGGTCATAGGTGGGAAAATAAGTAAAGAACCACCTTCAGAATATGCCACTTGCAATCTTGCTCGAGACAGGCTAAAAAGTCTCCAGCTGAACCCTTTACACAATGGACAATGGACACTTTTTTATCCGGGACGGGTGCAACGGCTGGAGGTGTCTGTCCACAGGCTTAAAACCGGACGTCTTTTCCCCCAAATAAACAAGTATGGAAGCGAAAAATAAATCAACCGGGGCTGGGATATCAGCCCAAACGACGGTGGAAGGCGTGTCTGCTACCACCGGCGGGCACGGGGAGGAGCAATCTTCTCTGCGTGTCGGCAGCGATCACACCTCTGAAATGAAGGGAGCAGGTCTTATTAGTTGTAACGCTTCGGATAAGCCGCACAAATGCCATAGTCGAAGAAGACTCGGACCTAAAGAGCGTGCTAAGTTTAAGCAAACAAGAAGAGGAAAGACTTCTCCGCTCGTCCGAACCAGGCATCAGCTCCCTGAGCAGGAACAGGCCGATACGTTCCAGCGAGGGAATGAAAGCTAAGGCGGCTCTCAAGATCAAGAGCGGGCTCCAGGACAATGCGGACCTCTCCCAGGGGAAATCGAAGCTGGCTTGAACTGAGCAATAAGTGGAGGAAGGCAGGACGCATCACCCCAAAGTGCATCGACGAGCGGATCCGCTTTTAAGGTGGAGGAGATGCTGGCCAACAAAAGGCAACGCTCAGCCGAGTGTACCAGGGAGTCAGACCCGACGGAAGATAGTTCTTCGCTACCCATAAAGCGAAGGTTAGTGATGTGTCCAAACGACACTTGATCGTAGTCCTCATCGACGAAAACGGGAAGATGACGGAAACGCGGTGGAAGACGATGCACGCGCGACTGATCGAATCCCTCTTCGCTCGGATAGAGGAAGATCCCTGCGCCCCAAATCTCACATATGATGGCGCAGGGTGGCTGAAGGGCCAGCTGACGCGAACGGCCTGCCAGTTGGAAGATTTGTGGGAGGTGGCCAAACTTGAGGTGGTCGACAGGGAGCTAATTCCGTCTAAAACGAAGGCAAAAGTGCTCTTCCCCAACGCAATCCAAGAAGACCTGGCGCTGAAGCTGCTTCAAAGACAGAACCCGGACATCCCAACGGCAGACTAAAAGGTAATGCACATTGTAAGCCCACGACCCAACGAGGAGGGCCAAAGTGCAGTCCTCCAAATTCAGAAGGAGGCAGAGGACCTGCTGTATCCCCAGGTACGTAAAAATGGCGTGGGGCATGGGTAGCGTTTACCTGCGCCTCAAAAACACCTGGGCCTGTATAGTGTAATGGAGACTACCCATGACTTGAAGTAGGAAAACTCGGATGAGGAGGAGGAAGGTGACCTGACAGTAATAGTCAACCAGTCGTGCGGAGGTGAGTCAGTTACCCATGATGCTAATGCTGCTGTAGCTTTATCTCCATAAGAACAAGAACGCGTCAACGGACCACCTCATTACCCTGGACAAAATAATTTGGTATCTGGATGGAGAGATCCGAGAAGCCATCCCTCTCAGACCAAAAGTACATTCGGTTCGACTGTGACTTCAAACACTCTCCAAAAATAACAATCTACAGGAACACTTGGAATACAAACTGGAATAAGTTAGTTAAGTTAAATTAGGGCTCCCGACGCACCCGGACTCTGTAACACCCGCGGAACACATAGAAAAGTCCCTATCCAAGGAATTACTAGATGCGTATCACGCTTCCTGCCGAATTTCGAGAATAAGAAAGAGGACTAAAGCACCATTGTGGAACCGGCACCTAGCAACTTAAATAGTTCTATTGTGAACTAAATACTTGATAAATTGTTTAACTTTTAAGCACTTTACTGTACTAATTTTCTGTAGATTTAAGGCTTTTGTTATACTGGCACTCTCAGCCATCTGCTGAGTGGAGCATAAATA